AGACACCCATCCAACACCTCCAAACATGCGCAGGCACGCAGGCACTCACACACACATGCACACACATGTGCACACACATGTGCACACAGACTCACATGTGCACACATGTGCAAACACACATGTGCATACACTAATGTGTGCACACTCACATGTACACACACTGCACAGACATGTACACACATGTGCACCCACACTCATGTGCACACACTCACTTGTGAACACACACATGTGTACACACTTACTCACATGTGCACTCCCACATACTCACATGTGCACACACACACAAGAAACCAAGGTGTAGAAAAGCCCACTCTGGAGTAGTACTTTCAGAATTTTCTCACCATTCTTGAGAGCTTATTTGGAGGCCCTAGCAGAGGAGCACAGCTATTGAATACCCTTGACTGAAGACCTGTCCTCATCTATTCAAGGAAGGTCATCTTCCGTCCAGGCACACAGCTTTGGGAGGGACACACATGGAGTGGTGAGGGAGGAAGTGGACACAGGCCTAGCCAGCCAGATTAGCTGAGTCAACCCTAGCAATCAATGGGGTGACAAATATGTCAGCCAGTCTCCCCTTACATCTGATTTCTCACCATTCTTACATCCTCCTTTTGACTCTTGGGTGTCTGTCACTAATGACTAATAGCATATGCTTCCTAACCTCTGCGTGTAGAAGCACATGGTCTGGGGTGTTATCTCCTTACCTGTGGAGGACTGGCAGGGAGGGAGGAACCAGAAGGCGGGAAACTGTGTGTGGGGATAGTTGGGTGCTGATGAATGGCATGAGTTTTCACTTTCGACATTAAGTGATATATGTATTTTTTCTTATACATAAGATTCACCCAACAGACCCATGAGCATCTGCTGAGGTTCCAGCATCTCGGGTCGGGCCCCTGCTCTGGAGCGCTCTCTACTCAGAGGCCTCTTTTTCTTGGAGCCTCTACAGCCCTCCCTCCTCTCAGCAGGCTTGTTTGCCCTTTAGACTCTACCACTTGGCAGTATTAAATTCACAAACTCCTTTCTCTGCCCCCTCTCTCCATCTCTCTCTCTCTCTCTCTCTCTCTCTCTCTCTCTCTCTCTCTCTCTCTCTCTACACACACACACACACACACACACACACACACACACACTCAAAGGCTGACAGACTGTTTCTAAGGCCTGGGATCAGAACTCCTTTGGGAGTTACTACCCTCCTCTTTCTCTTTCGATTTTGTCCCCAGCACACTTGGATTCAGTATAGATTCGTTGCCAACATTATCCCTAAGGGAACAGTTGAGCTGGTGCTCCCCATGAGTACATTTTTCTGTTGCCTTGATTTGAACTCAGCTGTGGTTCTAGAGGCTCCCGGAGAGGGGGGTACCCATTTCTAAGAACAGTCACAGAGGCCAGTAACTGCATGTGCTCACCCGAGGTACCCACTTCTAGTCACAGAGTCCAGTAACTGCGCGTGCTCACCCCTCCACATTCTACGTCAGCTTCACCCCTACACCTCCCATGTCTTCCCATTTTCTTCTTCTTGTCCCATCTCTCCCTTTGCATCTGATCATCACGGTCCAGGCTGAAGTTCTCTGTAAAGTCTGTCTTCTGGTGATGCATTCATTTTACAGTGCCTTCTGCTACCCAGATGTCTGGAGCTGCTTTGGGCAGCTGGTTGGACACAGATAACTGAACTCAGCTGGGAACCCTGGGTGGATGGCTGGCATACCAATTCTAGGCCAAGCAAGGCAACTAACTTGGAGGAGTGGTGGAAGGATTTAGAAAATTAGTGAGGCACACCAAAGTGATGGGGGGTGGGGGAAGAGAAGAGGGATGAGCATAGAACCACCCAATTCAAAGGTACCCGAGCTAGGCTCAGAGACCTACCCCTCCTTATATATACCAATTAGGATCTAGAAATACAGCTCAGTCAGTAGGGTGCTTGCCTAACAGGGCTGAGGTTCTGGTTTCTGTAACTAGCACCACATAAATCAGCTGTGGTGACACATGCCATTAATTCCAGCAGCATGAGGTAGGTGGAGGCAGGAGCATCAGAAATTAAAGATCACCCTCAGCTACATGGGGAACTGGAGGCCAGCCTGCTCAAAATCAAACAAAACAAAAATATATGGAAAACACCACCCAGCTTATCTCCCAGCCAGCTCCACTTCCAGTGGCGCCCAGGGAAGCCTTTTCCAGCGTCTTGCTTGAAAAAGTGTCCGGTAGGCTAGCATATGACCTTCTCTAGACAGCAGCTAACCCCTAAGTAAATGTTCTGCAGTAATTTGCTTACTGCCTTCCTTTCCCCTGGGAGTCACACTGCTCTTCATTTCTGCCGGATCCCAGAAAAGGTCCTGGAACACACGAGCTTCTCACACGTGTCTGTAGAACAATGATAGGAAGAAACACTATCTGTAGCTTTCCTCACTTCTTCAGGATCTCGACTAAGATCGCTCTGCCTCCAACAGGGCCTCCACAGAAGGACGTGGCTGACCTTGTCATCCCTATGGGCCCCAGGTTAATCTGCAGGGGCTTCCTTTCACTCATAAAAATACAACTGAAAAGTACAGACGTGAGCTTTCAAGGGAGACCCCTGAGTTCTGAAGGAGCCAAGTCAAGCCACAAGAAGACAGCGCCAGAGCTTTCAGACCCCAAAGCTGTGGCGCATGCGCATTCAGAAACCAAGCCTATCACTGTAGTTTCGAGAGAAACGGGGCAGCTTGGAATCTCTAGAAAGGCTTGCAGATTCCACCCCTTCCTGGGCCCCTCTCATGCCAGATAGCTGCCTCAGTTCCCACCATTAAAGCTTTTTGCTACTTGTAAGTTGAGGTTTTAGGGTCCTAATTAAATTTCCACACTTCCTCTGGAATGTCAAGAGTAGCCAGGAGACCTGAGAACAGGAGACCCGAGAACAGGCTGGCAAGGGAGCAGAAGGAGTTGGAGGAAGGCAGCACCTCAGCAGGTAAAGGAAAGCTGCTCTAGGAAGAGGCAGAAAAAGCATGGTCTATTTGAGTTCCAAACAAAGTGAGCCTTTTCTCTCCCCACCTCTTTCTTTTTCCCTGCTCCCCCTCCTTTCCACCTCTCCCCTTTCCTCCCTCCAGCTCAACACTACGTTGCACTCTCTGGTTTGCAACAGGAAATGATGGTTGATCCCTTTGCTTGACTTCCTGAAGCCCGCTGCCCAGATTGTGTGCCTAGGGTGTGTGCAGCCAGAAACTGCACACAGGAGTCCCCGATGACCTTGCAGACATCCTTTACATCCAGTCAGTAGCCAAGGGAGTCCTTGGAGATATACTACTTGGGCTAAGAACTGTGTAGAGAAGCCAAGGCTTCCAATGCAAACAAAGTTCCAGGCTTGACAATGAGCTATGTGACCTCGGGGGCTGGACAGTAGAGTGGGTGGATAGAGTGAGCTGGGAGACATTGGCGTTGGAGAAAGATGGCTAGCTTTGGGAGGGCGGTGGCGCTGTGGTAGGAGACTTGGACACTCAGGGGATCCTGGAGAGATGCACGTCTCTGATGTGATCCAACCTAAGCTTTAGAGAGGGCATTACCTCTCTGAGTAGAGAAATAACTTAAGGGACAGAAGAGACATTCGGTGGAAGATGCCTCCAAGGTCAAGGAAGAGAGACAGAGCCGGAGAAGGAGGGAAAGGGTGCAGAGGAAGGGAATAAAGAGGACTAGTTGGGAGCTTCACGTCCTGCTGTCTGTCAGTCAGTGCTGAGATTTGGCCCTCAGTTTCCCCACCTGTCAAAAGAGCTCTTCTCAAATGCCCTCCCTGCCCTGAAAGCCCCGCAGGGTCTGTGGGCTCCAGGACTGCCAAGCTCTTCCTAGGTCTGTGCCTGCTTGCTTTGTCTGTTACAGCTGAAAAACTCTCCCTGCAAGGAATTTATAAACTTTGCTTTTTGACTTAAAGACACATTTTTCTCCAACTTTGCCAGGTTCTGTTAATAGTTTAAGTGCGTGACTATCTTCTGTCCCTGCTTCTTGGTGGGAGGTGGTGGGTGAGGGTGTTACATTATTAATAAAATATGAATACATTAAAGTATTTATTTTCATGTAACTTAAGTGGGAAACATGATCTTTTGTGGAGCTTGAGGTGGAGCCTCAAACCTCTGGAAGCCCTAGATCAAGCTGAGGTCTTTGTTTGCAACAAAGCCCTTGACCCCTCATGGTTTTGGTTCTGTTTACTCTTGGCAAATGTTTGGGGTTCAAAGGGAGATGCTTTAAAAGCTGCATTGGGGTAGTCTATAAAATCTGAACACATCTTTGACATCAAAAAGCTCTTTCAAAGCTGTGGTTTGATGAAGTAAATAGGAATGCCTCACAGACCATATGGAATGCATTTTCCAGAACTGCTCTGCACTTGAATAACAAAGGAGAAAAGTTCTTGGCAAAAGGAGTCTGGGATTTTAATGACCCTTAAATATTTGGCTCCCTAGCCAGATGTGTTTTACCAGGCTGAAAACCCGACAGATAGACCCTGCCTCTCTCTCTGGCAAAACATAAGCTAACAGGGTGCTGCTGTTTGTGAAAAGATGTTTGCGCTTCATTGCAGAAAGCTTAATTCACCATGATTTCCTTAATTATCTACCCCTCCTCCAAACTGGCAGAACTCCCAGCATGCCTCAGAGCATCCGTTCTGATTTGAGACTGCAAGCTGTTTGTGAGGAGGCCACAGAAACATCCCTAGTTGTTTGAAATTGGGACCAAAGGGTTAGACCCTGATCAGAGTGTGTCCCTTTGGAGGAAATGGAGCAGGGTAGGAAGCTCAGTCCTCCTGGCTTTTGTGACCATATTCTCACTGGCTAAGGAACTAAGTCGGTTCCTGAATGCATGAATGTAAAACAAGACAACTCCTGGCCTGGGCTGTTCCTGTCAAGTGAAGTTTCTGGTTATGAAGGAACCTAACTGTCCTATGGACACATTCTTGCTGCTTCTCAGAGTCATCCGGGAAGTCCTGGCTGCTTCAGGTGCCTTCATGGTATTTGATACTTTCATGTTTGGGTGTATTAATGACTTACCTTTTCACTGTGACAGAATATTTGACAAAAGCAACTTAATGGAGGAAGAGATTAGTTAGGCTCGCAGTCCTGGGGTACAGTTCATCATGGTGGGAAGTCACGATGACAGGAGCTTGTGACAGCTATGTGAATTGTATCCCCAGTCAGGAAGTAGAGAGGGGGTAAATGCTGTTGCTTAGCTACCTTTGTCCATGGAATGGGGCTACTCACCCTTTTTAACCCAGCCTAGAAACCACTTCTCAGACACACCCAGAGATTTATTTCCAGGTCAAGCTGACAGTCAAGATTAACCATGATGGTGTGTACAGAGTGGCTTTCATTTCTACAGCACCTCAGAGCCAGTTTTAATACTCATGTGATGATGCGTGGGTTGCTGCCTCCCTTAAACCTTCCCTGGTAAGAGACAGAGCTGCCATTTCAGATGGAGGTGACTTTCAAAGTGATGAACCCTCTTCAAAGATCAGGAAACTGATGTCCAGGATATCAGAACCAAGCCTAGAAACTACCCAATCCATCAACAGTTTGGGTCCTTACTGGCTTGTTTACAAAACTAGACTGTCTGCATAGGACAGAGATTTACCAATGCAAGATGTTCGAAAGCATAGACATCAGGAGGGGCTGTAAACTGGCCAAGTCACATGGCCAGTTCTGAGCTGCTGTTCTGGGTTATAGTGTTCTGTTAAAAATACAGTACATAGCGAGAAGGAGAAGCAGAGGCCTAGAGGAATTAGGGGGCTTTGGCAGTGGGGCTCCAAGGCCTTTGTTTCTCCTAAGAGGTGAATGAATGGTGGCCTTGTTCTTGGCTATGGTAGGCTCAGCCCTCAATGCTGAGTCCGGAGGTTCATGATGAGACTTCTGGCATGGCTGGGTAGGCTGAGGATGGCTTCCTGGTTCAGAGTCCTGAAATGGTTCAGACACAGTAGAAACAACAAGGGATGTCTCAGGGCTGCTTTCCCAAGGGCTTTGTATTAGTCACTTTTCTCCCTGCTGTGACAAAACACCTGGCAGAAACTACTTAGGAAGGAAGGAATTTTTTTGGCTCACAGTTAAGGGTCCAGTCCACCATGGTGGTGGTGGGGAAGATTATGGCAACAGGAGCTAGAAGTGGCTGATCACATTGTGTCCATGGTCAGGAAGCAGAGAGCAAAGAATGCTGGAGCTTCAATCACTTTCTCCTTACTCAACCCTGGACCAGTGAAATGGCATCATTCACTTCCGAGGGAGGTCTTCACATCCCAGTTAAACCTCTCTGGAAACACTCTTACACATGCCTAGAGGTTTGTCACTTAGGTGGCTCTCAACTCTGCCAGGTTGACAGTCAAGACTATTTCAAGCTCTACTGTCATTCATGAGGTTTCTGCTTTCAGGACCCAGTGGCACTCTAACATTGTCATCTTGAGTTTGGGATCTCAACATGTCCATTTAGATGGTCAGACCTTAGCTGATCAGCTGGGCCCAGTCTCTGCACTGGTGCTGGGGGGTAGGCTCCTGGCCTCCTTGCTTGTCACATTGCAGGTACCTCTGTATGCTCCTCTCAGTGAAGATGGAACCCTAAGGATGAATTACTCTTTCCATCCTTGTTAACAGACAATTATCAACAACCATTTGTGTGCTCTAAGATGTGAGGGAAAATATAGAGAAGTCCAGATCAAAATCACAGCAGGGACTGAGGTACTCTCTCTCTCTCTCTCTCTCTCTCTCTCTCTCTCTCTCTCTCTCTCTCTCTCTCTCTCTCTCTCTCTCTCTCTCTCTCTCTCTCTCTCTCTCTCTCTCTCTTTCTCTTCATTTTAAAATAATTATTTTAGAAGCACTCTTATTTACATATCCATCCCTCCATTCCCTCACCCTCCCATCCTCCCATGCTTCCCACCAACCCCCCAACCTACCCCCCACCCACACCCCAGGGATAGTGAGGCCCTCCATGGGGGATCATCAAAGTCCATCACATCATTTGGTGGAGAGTCCAGGCTCTCCTTCCCATATCTGGGCTGCAATAGTATCCCTCCATAGGGAATGAACTCCCAAAGTCCTTTGTGATCTAGGGATAAACACTGGCTCCACTGTTAAGAGGTCCCATAGACTGCCTTGATCTCCTAGCTGGCAGCCACATTCACAGGATTTGGTTTGGTCCAATGCTGGTTTCCCAGCTTTACGACTGGGGTCTCTGTGCTCTCACTAGGTCGGGTCAACTGTTTCTGCGGGTTTCTCCAGCACCATCTTGGCTCCTTTATTTATCCCTCCTTCCTCTCCACAACTGGATTCCAGGAGTATGGCTCAGTATTTTGCTGTGGGGAGGCACACTTTCTTGACCAAAAAAAAAAAAAAAAAAAAAAAAAAAACGAATCAGAGTAGTAAGAAAACAAAACCAAATGGTATTCAGGTTAACACAGAATAATAAACATCCAAACCCAAACCTCTTCTCCTTCTAGTGCACAGAGCTGGTGGGGCTTGCCACTGTCCTGGAAGGGGTGCACAGGATGGCTTGCGGGTTCTGCTGTGCCTTGCAAGCTCGCCTGCCTTTCAGCACTCCTCCACCTCCCTGCATAGCCAGCTTTAGTAGGTCTGCTCTCTTGGCTGACAACTGCCGCCCATCTTACCCTCCCAGCTATATGCAGTGGGCACTAGAGATATCCATCTACTATGGGGCATCCTTAGGGGGAAACGATCTCTGAAAAGAGAGAGAGTGACAACAAGAGCGAGAAGTCAGGAAAGCTCAGTGGTGGTGTTCAGTTACCAGGGAAGGTTTTCATTTTCCTTCCTAGAACTCCATCTTTATCGCTGGGAGGTGCTGGGTTGGGCATTGAGAGACCCATGAAATCACCCCGGGCCCTGGTTTGGGTTCATGCAGATTGTAAACATCTCTCCTAATTTCCAGCTGCCCAGTCTGGAGGCTGAGAGATCCTAACATGTCAGCTACTCAAGGCTGAGCGCAGAGAGAAGCACGCTGTTCCCAGTCTCGGGGATCTGTTTGAGCCAGTGCTGTCCTGGCATGTGCTCTCTGACAGCCCCCAGTGAGGGAGCAGGTGAGCGATGGTGTGCACCCCAGAGAGAACTGGGCTGAAACCAAGTGGCTCTGTGATGTCTCAGGCGTGTTAATTAAATGTGGGATTATGGACCCCAGATCTTCACAGAAAGTAGATTTATCGTACCTCATTACCAGATTTTATACACTCCACTTGGGTGAGACTGATGCTCTGTATTAAAAGGAATGCTGGATTTTATGGTCTATACCCTTCTGATATAAAGAGGAAACATTTAGAAACGGCAGTGGTGAGATTGAGGCCTCGCTTACTGGCCCCGATGACATACTGAAACCAGAGCATCAAAAACATTCAAGCATTGTCTGGATACATCACTGGCCTACATACCCCAAGACTGCTCATCTCGAACCTCACCAAGCTTCTGCTTCTTTCTCCACAGGCCTGTGACTTCATTGTCGACTTTTCCAGAAACTCATCCCTCTGATTTTCCACGGGACCCATTCCTGAGTGCTTCACCACATTCAGGGTGAGCGGTTTCTCCTCAGCACCCAGCAGCTCTCTTTCTGTCTCCTGCCCCGTCTCCATGCGCTCTAGCATGCCAGCCATAGGGCTTCAGGACTCACAGGGCACAGCACCCTGCACTTCGAGGAGACAAAAGAGCCATGAGAAGGCCTCTTTGCCTTTCTCCTGCCACTCCTGGCTGATAAAAGCCAGAAAGCCTAGAAAGCATTCTCTGAAATTTCTCTCCCTTAAAAAAGACCCTTGCAAATCTGCATGGACTGACCTAGGTCCTCTGTATATGTTACACTTGTACCACTTGGTCATGTTGTGTGACTCGTAACAGTGGGAGCAGTGGCTGTCTCTGACTCCTTTGCTGGCTTTTGAGACCCTATTCCTTATACTGGGTTGCCTTGTCCAACCTTAATACAAGGGTATGTCATTTTGATTGATATCCATGGGAGGCCTGCCCTTTTGTGAATAGAAATGGAGGAGGGGTGGATGGGGCAGAAGGGTGGTAGGGGAGGAGGGAATGGAAACTGTGGTCAGGATGTAAAATAGATCCATAAACAAACAAATATACAAGTAAAATAATTACAGTCAAATTACAAAGTCTGTATTTCAGAATATAAGAGAGACTAGGGTATCACACATTGTATTCATTCCTAATGAAAAAGGTATAATATGTAAAAAAGAGAGTCTTTTGAATAAAATCTGTGTGCTAAAAATAAAAAAAAAGACCCTTGCATGAGATGTACCAAGTCTATGCCAAGGGGGAAGGAGTGCGCTTTTCTGAAGACATGGTTGATGGAGTGCAAGCTCAACAGCAGGTCTTCCTGAGTTCTCCCTGTTCACTACCAGGAGACAGCATTCTTTCTCCAGCCACACCCACTTCTCAGAATTCGTGCACAAATACATAGGTTACCCTGTTTTGTTTCTCCGTGTACATGCTTGTGCATATACAGGTACACATGTGTGTGCATGCAGCTGGAGACAAATTCTCAGGAATGCTATTCAACCAGTAAGACTTGGTCCCTCACTGGCCTGGAGCTTGCCAAATAGGCTTGGCTGGCTGGCTGGCCAGCAAGTCTCAGGGATTCCCCCTCCTGCATCTTCCTCTCTTGAGCTTATGTTCTTAATTGCTACACTCTGGTGAACAAAAGGTAGGTTGACTTTTGTCCCTCTCACATTGTAACTTCAAACATAAACATCAACCAATTAGAAACTGGAATGCAGAGTGATGAATCTACAACCACAGTAGGGTCAGGCATGGAATGTGTGTGACAGTCTGTGATTCTAGCATTTAGAAAGTGAATATAGGAAGATTGGGGATCTCTCTGCCCGCCCCCTCTCTCTATCACAGCATATATCATATACACAACAAAGAAAAATAGTGCCAAGATCAAACATAGCTTTTTAAAATCACAAGGGAAAATATAAAACCTTTGTGCTATTGTGTGTTACTTTTCTGTTGCTGTGATAAACACTGTGACCAAAGCAGCTCATGGAATAGTTTCTTTTGGCTTATGGTTTCAGATAAGAGTCCATTATGTTGAGTTGGTATGGCAGTGAGTGGTAGGAGCAGGAAGCTGACATCACATCTTCAAACACAAGCACAAAGCAGAGAATGAACTGGAAGTGACAGGAAGGCTTAAACTCTCAAAGCCCTCTCCCAGTGATGCACCTCCTCCATCGAGGTCAAACCTCCTACACTTCCCCAAATAGCGCCACCAACAGGATAGCAAGTGTTCCAATGCCTGAGCCTATGGGGGTGGGGAGCATTTCTCTTCTCAAACACTGTAGCTATACTGAATTAAACAATATGTAAGAAAGCAACACATCACAGGGAAGTGGCATGCCAAGGAGTGAAACATGGGCTCCCTTGAAATTCCATCAATATACTAGCTATACTGTGATTATGGGAGGGATGTATCATAAACTACAGAAAAACTACTTGGTAATGATCAATAATTACTTTTGGAAAACTCTTTAACAAACTAGACAAAGGACACATCTAAGTATCTACCCAGATCTTCAACAAACATTGCAATTCTTGGTGAAGCTTTTGTTTAGAAACCCTGCTGATACTTGATTCTTTTAAGCTGAAATATGAGTAAAATGTGACAAAAACTCCAGGCGTGTACAGATTGGGATGGGGGAAACAAGGATTACTCCTATGTAACTTGAACCTCCTTACAGAAAACACAGAAGACTCTGCAACTACAATAGAACTGAGTGAGTTATTAAGCTTCCCAGAGACCAAACACCCGTGATCCCCATGGCAGCAGAGATCAGTGAGAAAATGTGACCTTAGAACAATGGGGGAGACTACCAGGTGTCTAAGAATAAGCCTACTGGAAGACAAACTTCATGGCAAAATTATAAAGTCTGGCTAATGGATATCAAAGGAAAACCTAAATGAATTGAGAAATATGCTGTATTCCCAGGTGTGAAATTATTACTATAGAGACGGCAGTTCAATTCAGAATTGAGTTCTGAATCTACAAATGGCATTGCAAGTGAGCAGGGAACTTTCTACAGAACTTTACAAGGTGATATTAACATTTGAGACTGCATAACCAATCAAAGTTCTTTGAATGAGTGATAGTTTAATGCCCAGCTATGAAGGAGACATCTGTGTCACCCTTTCCAAGGCTCAGGGAATATCTCTGAAAGGAGTGAAAAGATCCAGAGGAAGGAAGAAGAGCAAGATGGAGCGCTGACTTATGACGCAGCCCTTAAGCTCTTGAACTCTCAACAGTTCTGAGTACCTAATACGATATGGAGAGGGTCCCACCACACACGGAGTGCATTTGCTCGAAAATGACCTTGACCGATACGTTTTTCTGGTGAAACATTAGAACGCCAAAGAGAAACAGAGCAACTTAAAAGAGGAAAAGAAACAACAGGAAGATGTTCCTGGCAAGAGAACAAAACCAGGCATCAAAGGCCACCCACCCTGCTTCAAAATGTTGAGGGAGTAACAGTGACTAGGTGGGAGCCTTGAGAGAAGACAGCTTGGTTTTCTGTCTCCAGTGGATGTCCAGGCTCCCAGGCTCACTTCTAAGAGAAAGACAGGACAGAAGAGGCTGTCTGCTGACTACTGCTACCCCACATCATCTCAGGAGGCTCTAGTCTGGACCTCCATCAATATAGGTATTGACTCCTCCTAGGCAGGGCCAGGCCTCAGAGCAAAGTACAACCTAAGAGACGATGGTAACACAGGGTGCAGATGAGACAAGGAGGCCCAGGGAGTCACCTTGCCCTCTGTGTGACCTGAGGAAGCATGTTGTTCTTCAATGGGGCTTTATCAGATGAATAAAAAGAAGTGAAAAGAAGCCTCATGCTAGAGGGATGCTAGATTGCAGCTCGGGGCCTCATGATGGATGCATGGACACTAGAAACTTGAGGCAGCCAGTCACCAAGGAGGCTTCTGAGAAGGTGGTTGTGGTACAATGCTACTCAGAGACACTGCAGAGGCCCTAGGGGGTCTGGCGGGCTATGAGTCACTTGCCCATCTGAGGTTTCAGTCCTTTTCTGCCCGAGGTGCCAGATCTCTAATGGAACGCACCACAGTCCCCGCAAACCCCAAACTGCGCGGCATCTTGTATGCCAACGCGCGGAAGAGCATCAGGAAGTGCAGGGGCTAGCAAGTCAACCTGTCTTCACCCTTAGAGCTGTGGACCCTCTCGACACTTGCTGATTCCTCCGCTCCTTTTGGACCGCACCGAACCTGCGAACCTGCGTGTGCTTCGTCACATGTTCTGGCCTGACGTCATAAGGACCGGAGTTAGCCTGCATTCTGAGGAGCTGGAACCTGCTCACTCTTTGTTTGGCTGTTGTGCAGATGACTAGGTAGCGCAGTAACTGCCCTAAATGAGGAAGATTTCCTCGCAGCTCAGCTGCCCACCTTGCATCCAGCCACTCCAGATTATCACCCTCCACGTCCTGTAGCCTGGCAGCTACCCCTGCCGGACCTGCGTCTTTAGGTTGCTGCAGCCAAGGCAAGTCTGCCTGAAGCCTACCTTCAGCCTTTGCCCCGGAGCACTGGCTTCTACTGTGCTCCCAGGAGGCAGTGCGGCTTCGAGATGTTCCAGCCCTCCAGAACCATGAAAATCCCTCCTCTGGAGCAAAATTCTTTCTCCACTACTTGGCCGGCGTGGGTGATCCAAGCTGAAGAGGCCCTGACATTGGACGACCTGCCTCTTCCTTGTCCAGAGGAAACTGAGTCAAGAGCCAAAGAAGAAATGAAAAACAGAAGAGAGGAGAAGGTGAAGGTGAAGGAAGAGAAGGAGGAGAAGGAAGAGAAGGAGGAAGAGGAAGAGAGGGAGGAGCAGCAGGAAAAGGAAGAGGAGGAGCAGGAAAAGGAAGAGATACAGCGGAAGGGGGAACAGATGGAGAAGAAAGAGCTAAAGGAAGAGGAGGCAGGAGAGGAGGAGGGAGAGGACAGGGAAGAGGAGGATAATGGCTGGTGGCTCCTGGAAGAGGCAGAAGGCCAGGATGGCAAGGAAAGGAGTTCATCCAACAGCCTTGTGCAAGGAGCTACATCTATGACCTTAGTGGCCAAGTCATCCATGGTTTCTATTGTGCTACCTTATGAACCTCAAGTTGGCAATCAGTACCCCCATGGAACATCTGTGGAGGCGACGGCCCTGGTATCTTCCAGGGAGTTCTCTTGTGGTCTTAGCTCCCCCAGCTCACATAGCTTCGCTGGAGTGGCCCCTGCTCATCCGTGTTCTGGTGAGGATGCTTTGGGGTGCCTCACGGGAGCCTCAACCAGCTGCTCCTCACTTCAGGAGGCCTTTCCCAAGAAAGAACTGGAACTAAACAGTCTTACAGGCTCTACAGACTCCCAACCTCAGGTTAGTGCACCAGGGAGTCCTACTACGCCTGTGTCTGCATTAAAAAGACCCTGCAAGAGAAAGGCAGCCACACCAGAATTGCAGCTGTCACCCTCGGGGCTCCTACAACTACCCTGGGATCAAGGTGACCTGCCCCCACCTCCCAAGATTCCACGCATTGACACAGAGAAAGAATCAGACACCATGAAGAACACGAAGGGTCAAACCACCCAGATCTCAGATGATATAGTGGATGCCTTACAGCCTAAGAACCCTGTCCTGCCCAGTACCCCACCTGCTTCAGGGCCTGCAGGTTATCTGTCTCTGAACAATGATGGGGTCTCCAGCCCTGGTCCCCCGGCCTCCACTCCCTTGTTATACCTGGCTGCTTGGCCCCCAATCCCATCTGTCCCTTCTCTTTCCCTCACACCAAATATACCAATAATCTCCATTTCTCCTTCATCTTTCCCTTCTGGTCCTCCTCCTCCCTGTAGGGCCAGGCCCAGTGTGGAGACTCCACCAGATACAAAGAAAGGCCCTGCTAATTTGGTCACAGCTTTGGCTCCTGCTATTTCTCACCTCCCCAGGCCTGGTCCTGAACCTTTGTCTTTCAGTTCCTCTTCCTACAGGATGGAGTCCCCAACACCAGTGAGCATAGATTGTCATCCTTCCCTCCCTTTCCCTTCCCTCAGGGACCCCCCTACAGTGTTTTCTACCCCAGCATCCCATGCCTGTGAAGACATGAGCTGGGAGCCATCTTCAGGGTCTGCTGTGATGGACATGGACACCACACCCCCTTCTGAGGCAGATATTCTGAGCTCACCCATAGTCAGCACTGGTAGCTCTTTGCCAGTTATTCCTACCCACAGCAGTATGCAACAGAGGTGGCTGGCTGCAAATGCTACAGTGTCCACTGGCCCACTTGCACTCAGGGTCCCCTGTCACACCCCAATGGGGAACAGTCTGTACACTCCTAGGCCTACCAATGGGTGGAAGCAGGAAGTGTCTCCCTCTGGTGATCCTGGTGTTTGGATTCAACCTGGGCTGGTCCCGGCTCTTCCTCCCATGGTAGCAATAACCCCTTCTCATCCTGCCTCTGACTTTGAGCTCATGGATACCACCCCTCCATCTAAAGCTGTCATCTTGTACTCCTCCCATGCTGCTGACCACGTCTCTAGGAGTTTGCTTCCTCAATCAGTTTGGGAGCCTACTAAGGCTTACAACCGTCCTAGATGCACCTCTCCACCCACCTGTGCATTGCTTAGTAGGCCTCAGCCTGATGACTATGTCTTCAGGAGGAATCCATCCGCTTCGACGCTAGCAATTGACCTAACCTCACGAGCCTTCCAACCTGCCAGAGGTAGCACAACCCAACTAGGACTTGCAGGCTCAACATTACCTGCTGGCCTTGGCAAGCCTCAAGGCACTGCACTGGCCTATGGGAAGCGCCCATGTGCTTCCTCCATTGCCACACCCACTTTGGGGTTTGCTCTCAGCAAAGGAATGGGCTCAGGAGACTGCAGCTCATCATTCACCAACTTCACTCCCAGCACATCAGCGTTGTCGGTGAGACCTGCGGCGCCACTGAATGGAGAGAACTACCTACAGGGCAAGCTCACGCAAGGACGCGTGCCCGCACCTCGAGCCTGTGCTGCTAGACGGAAGGAAAAGGACAGTGGAACCACCATTGCCCCTATAGTTCTCAAACTTTGCCGCTCATCTACGCACAGTGGTGATGCTGTGCAAGTGGGGGCTGGGGGGCATTAGATTAGGGTGTGTGGATCACTTACTGCTCTCCAGGCTGGCTCAGGCTCAGGGATGCTTACTAGAACCCTTGACTGGCAGCATAACCCTTACTATTTATAGAACTACATACAAAAGTACAAAACTTGACAACTTCTGCAGATGCACAAAGACTTGTTGACCAAGCATGGTTACTATGACTAGACTGTGTTTTTGAGTGTACTAATATTTTCTTTAGTATTCAGGGTATTGCCCAAATTAGTTTATTCTCATGATAGTATTCGTGTTCTTTTCAGTTACGTATTAAAAATGAAGCTTATGTTAATGTTCTTAAAAATGACTTAGCTGTTATGACTGAGTTTCATGCACACATTGTATTTAGTTTTTCAATAATCCTGACTTTCCCCTAAAAATAAGTGGTTGTGTTATTTACTTTTCTATTGATGTCATAAAACACCATGACTAAGGCCAACTTGTAGAAGAGTTTCTTTTGGGCTTGAGGTGTCCAAAGATTATAGTCCATGATGGCTTAATGAAGGCAGCAGCTGACAGCTCATGTCTCAAACAGCAAACAGGAAATAAAGAGCATACTGGAAATGCAAGTACCTTCTGAAACCTTAAAACACTTTTGAAAACACAGTGACGTGCTTTCTTAGGCAAGCCTCCAACACAAGACCTGAAGAGGTCATTCCCTATGGAAACCATAAAGGCCTAAACATCAAATGTGTCTGTGTTTGGAGAGGAACTCTAAGGAAGTTATTACGTTTAAATAGGGTCAGAAGGTCAGGCCATAATCCAACAGTCTTCGTGTCTTTACTAGAATATACCAGAAAGCAATGGGTTCTACCCCTTTCTCAATATATGGCAGGAAATAATGAATGGGTGTCCCTTTTGAGAGAGACCTCATTAGAAATCTAACTTGTTGGCACACTGATCATGGACATGTAGCCTCTATGGCTTTGAAAAATGAATGACCATTGTTTATGACACTCAGTCTGTGACATTTCAATAGGGGAACCTGAGATGACTAACATACTAGACCAAGAATCAAGAATCAGATTTCTTAAGAATCTGACATACGTTGTGAGGGGTGTTTCAGGGGTGTTTCTTCATTTATTTATTTTTACTAATCTCTCCCAGCTCAGTCTTCAGAAAATACCATGGTACCCATGATAGTGATGAATGATGACAGCAGGCTAATAGGCAGGAGAGCAACCTCCAAGGCTAGGTAGCTTGCTTTCTGACTGGCTACAGTACCAAGTCTGTGGGGGGGACCCCTTGAATTCCCTCTTTTCTCTCCTCTCCTCTCCTCTCCTCTCCTCTCCTCTCCTCTCCTCTCCTCTCCTCTCCTCATCTCATCTCTTCTCCTCTCCTCTCCTTTCCTCTCCTCTCTTCTTTTCCATTCCCTTCCCTTCCCTTCTCTCTCCTCTCCTCTCTCCTCTCTTCTCTCTTCTCCTCTCCTCTCCTCTAGACTTGCTCTCAAGATACCAGCAATGCCATAAAATATGAAATGTACTATCAAAAGGTACAACTCCATCTTTTCTAGCAGAAGAACCCTAGGAGCTTGAAAACCCCAGGAAAGCCATAGAGAGGAGATATATCAAGCAGAGATTCTATCAAGTTGTATATGAGCTTTTGGGATCTCCCCTAAGAGTTGCATGCATGGGTCTAATCCACACATTATGCCAAAGCCTGGAGAACATCCATATTATGTTATGACCCAGGTTCCAATCTGGTCACTACCATAAAAGAACAAAGCTAAGTAGCTCTACAAAAAATGGGAAGAACACATAGCTTTTAGCTTGTATTAATATAAATGACTTGAGCAGAATCACGTGCCATCTACACATAACATGTACATAAAACACTATACACACTTTACTGTACTTGGAGTATGTATTACAATTAGTTAATGTGCATGGATACATGCATGTCACAGCATGTATGAGTAGCTATTGAGATCAGAAGGCAAACTGTGGAAGTTACTCTTCTCCTTCCTCTATGTGGATCCCAGAGATTGAGCTACCCAGGCCATCAGTTTGGTGGCAAGTGCCATTAAGCCATCAATCCATGTTGTTGGCCCCACACAGACCATTTCTGTGATAACTATATTAGGACATAAGATTAGACTCAATAAGTTTAAAAATGTTATCATATAAGGCATGTTAAGCTTCTCTAGAGCAACAGAAATGAGTGTGTATTGCAATGTAGATTAACTGCATTGCTGTACAGGTCACAGGCTGGTTATTGCAACAATGACTACCTGCGGAGAGTCTGCAAGTCTGAATCTGATGGATCTTCAGTCCACTAGATCGGATGCTTCAGTATTCTCAATCTGGCACTCAAGACCTTGAGGATTTCTGGAGAGCTCTGGTCTTCAATCCACTGTGGAAGCCTGAAGAAGCTGCATTCTGTGAGAGACAGTAGTCGAAGTTAAAACAGAAGAACAGACATAATGACCAACAAGGGACAAGTTCAGACAGGCAAGTAAAATTGCTTTTCCCTCAGGCCTCTTTACATATAGGACACCATAAGAAGGAGATGCCTAGTCTGGACAGGGTCTTCCCCCTACATCCAACTCTTCTAGGAAATATCCTTACAGTCACATCAGAGCCATGTATCTTAGTTAATTCTGAAGCCAACCAAGTTGACAAGTATGCTTAACCATCACAGTTCTCACCCCGAGGCTTCCTTTACCACCTGCCCAGAAGGAACGTCCAGTCTGTTTTATGGACTATACAGAATATTCTATTTACTTGTTTATTTTTAATAGATTTCCCTCTCTCTCTAAAGATCCATAGATGATACTTTTAAAAATAACGCTTGTCCCTGGTAATGTGGTATTTCATACCAATGTGGCATTCATATTGATTTTTCCCTATCTATCTCAAGCTCAGCTTTCAACCAACTCTTTCAGTCTGTAAGTATGTGTCACTTGAGGGAATTTTTATTTCTTTTGTAACTTTATCTTGTCTGCTTTCCCTATTTCTACATCTAACATTCACATATTCTCCACTGCAAGTTTCTCTAATCTTTATTTTCCCTTTCCCATCCTTCTGCTCTACTTTATAAATTTATTAGAAAAAGACATGTTCTGTTGTTCATGTGGGATTTTTTCCCTCTAAAGGTATTGCATGCATTCCCTTTTCTTCCTGGTATCTGTGTCTTGGTTCTTTGGTGATTTCTGTCTACTCTGGTAGATATTTGCTCAATGCTTGGTGATTCTTGGGGGTCCTCTCCTATGTTCGGGTCAAATGTCCAACTGATGATCATCGTTTCCTGTGTGGTTGAGTAGAGATGGTATCATTGTTTAGTTGTGAACTTTAGTTAGGTTTTAGTATGTTATGACATCACAGCCCTATGCTATTTCTGTTGGTTGAGTTCTTAGTCCCTTCATTTTCTCTGTCCCTAGAGAGCAATGATAACTGAGTGTACTGCCAGACTGGAGAAAGGGCTATTATTGCTAAACTGCATGGGGGAGCGATGATCTGGGGTCCTATAATCTTTATGTATTTTCAGTTAATGGTCCTGTTTTCATTATCTCCACTCTCTGTCTTCACAGTGACCAACTCTCTATCCCATGCAGGGTCAAAATGTGCCTACTCAAACTCCCGTGGAAAAAGTTCTGTCTCTAGAACTCTTGGCCACTTAGCTTTGGCTATGGTGGCAGTAACCTGCCTCCTTGTTCCAGGCACCTAGGTCCCTTGAAGTTCATCAGCTTCATGTCTCCCTCTTTTCTAACACTTCCCCATCCAAATGTGGTGCTGCCAACTATCCTTGAAAAAGAAATGAATTTCAGCATGATGAATTGTATGTACTTCCTGCTGACTTCATCTGTCTGGCTGTGGGTGTACAAAATAAATTCAATGAAGAATATCAAGTGGTAGGAACTCTAGGACACCAAGCTCCTGGGTTCTCCACCTCTTAACATGTCTTAGCCCATCTTCTGACCCCCTCCCTCCCTCCCTCCCTCTCTCCCTCCCTCCTTTCTTTTTTCCTTCCTTCTATCCCTTCCTCTGTTCATCCTTTCTTCTTTCCTTCTTTCTTTCCTTCTCTCTCTTCTTTCTTTCTTTCTTTCTTTCTTTTTTTCTTTCTTTCTTTCTTTCTTTCTTTCTTTCTTTCTTTCTTTCTCCTATTATTCTCTCCAACCTTCTAGTTTGCTTTTCTTTTGGTGTGGTAAATACTGTGGCCAAAAACAACTTGGAGTGGGAAAAAGTTTATTTAGCTCACACCTTCAGGCAATGGCCCATCTCTGGGGTAAGTCAGGGCAAGAACTGAAGCAACAACTGTGGAGGAGTACTGACTCATGGTTTACTTACTCTCTGACTCATCCTCTGTTGGCTTTCTTATACATCCCAGGACTACCTGCCTAGCAATGGTGCTGTCCACATTGGACAAGAAAATTCAGGGTCACAGGCTAATTTCAATCCCTCAACTGGCATACCCTTAGGTTAGTCTAGGTTGTGTCAAGTAGACAGCTGAAGCTACCCAAAATAACCTATCATTATAAATATTTCAATATATATATATGAAAGAAATTATATATACGTGTGTGTGTGTGTGTGTGTGTGTGTGTGTGTTTCTTTCATGTATGTATATTAAAAACCTGTAAGAAAAGTAGGAGGAAATAGAGAGAAAATCCTCTGGTTGTCACTTGATTTTGAGATTCTAAAATTGCCTCATACAGAGATACAGCGACTGTCAGTACATGGTTTCTATGAGCCATGCTTTTTTGCCTCATTGTGGTGTCTGGTCCGGTGGCAAGAATGTTGCTAGAGGGAGTGTACGCCACATTTACTTTGTGTTCCTTCTCTTCTTTCTCCTTTTCTTATTTGGTATTACAAAGGACAAAGACATTGTCTTACTAATTTCTACACTCCCAGTACCCAGAGAAGTACTGGGTATGAGTTAGATGTTAAACGTATATGTGTAATTGGATGATAAGAAGCATCTCAGACATTCTTCTGCAGACTGAACTGGAGGCAGCAGGGTGGAGGGTCTATATAAGCTAGGATAGCTCCAGCATCTGAATTAGATCATCTAGCTTGGCTGGGAGCAGTGACTTTGTGGTTTTGCTTGCAAAGGCAGCCTTGTGTTTTATGGACAAATGGAAATTTAGCCTTAGATATTGCTACCAGACTGGGAGAACTTTGTCTGTAACCTCATATGCTTGGGAATGTGTTTGCATTGTCAGCAAGAATCTTCTTGAATGCTGATCCTTGAGGCTGTGCTGTGGGTCTTGGGCTTGGTACCTCCATCTCCTCTTAGTCTATGACACTCTACTATAGGAAACCAGACACACCCAAAGCCTAAGGGAGTAAGCTCTGCCATTTAAAGTTACTTTCAGGAACAGATATGTAAAATGCACAAGTGGTTAAATGCAATAATAATAAACACTCACAACATCAAATTTAGTATAAAACATTCTGAGGCCAAGACTAATGAAGCTCTTCCTCCTATATTTCTATTCATGGTCCATATGAACCTGTGGTTCTCTAGAACATACTCTATACTGATCAACCGTATGTTGCTCAAATATCTTTTACTTCATAAAATTGTAATGTGTTATAAGTATTCTTATGCAATTTTCTTCTTTTATGGGGCTTGTATAGGTCATTCATGATGATCAATTTACTGTCCTTCATATATTTTTCACTATGACATACTATGCCCTTGTGTGACTACACCACACGCATTTCTGTGTTAATGAATGTTTGGATTGTTTCCAGTAATTTTTAGAAAAAATGCTATAAATGGGACTCTGAACATATCTGGAAGCAAATGTGACATTGTTTAGGAGTAGACCTACCAAGCTATAAGTAACACTTGAAGCAAAGGAATGTTTACTTTCTTTGCAAATGGAATGAGTTAGCTTTCCCCTTGGAACTTGGTAGGGTTTACCATTAGTGTACATCTCCACTAGTATGTTGTATTGCAATATTCTTTGAGCCTGCCAGATACAGCTTTAGTGTATAATATACCCTATATTATCTCCAAGTAAGCATTTCTTCATCACAGTGAAGAGATTTAGGTTATTAGCTATTTTCTGCCCTATGAATATCTATCTATTCAGGGAGTTGGAGAGATGGCTCAGTTGCAAAGGACACAGTTTGGGTCCCAGAACTAGTGTCGGGTTGCTCACAACTGCCTGTAACTCTGGCTTCCAGGAATCTTGCTGACCTTTGGGGCACTGCAAGCACATGGAATAGGGTATGCACACACACAAACATACACAATTTTTTTAAACCTGAGAAAGAATATCTATTCAGGAACTTTTCATATTTTAGTTTAGTTTGGATTGTGTTTCATTGGGCTTTAGGAGTTAAATATATATTCTGGATTCTAATAATTGAATATCATATTACATTAGCTGCTTTTCTCACCATAGGAACCAAATATCTGATAAGCAGCAATTTAAGGAATGAAGGGTTTACTTCCACTTACAGTTTGAAAAAGCTACCCATCATAGTGGCGAAGTCATGGCAAGAGGAACGTGAGGCTATTGGCTCACATCTGGGCAGATGGGTAAGCATATGGAGATGAATGTTGGTGCCCAGCTGGTTTTCTCCATTTCTCTTTTCTATTCAGTTCAGAACCCCAGATCAGCATTTAGAGTGGCTCCGTCTCCATCAGTTAATCCTCTCTGGAGATGTCCTCACAGCCATACTCAAAGGAGTTGTTATTATTATTGCCCTATGCATCTCTAAATCCCATCAAGTTGGTAATCAAAATTAATCAACACACACGCACGCACACATGCATGCACGCATGCACACCGCGTTAAGGTATCATTCCAAGTTTTAACTATTTCCTTATTTATTCTCGGCTATTTAAAAAATATTGTATTTTATTTTTATTTATGTGTCTATATGCATGTACTGCCTTTGTGCAGGTGCCTGTAGAGGTCAGAAGACAATGTCAAATCTCTTGAGCTTAGTTACAAGTGGTTTGTGAGCCACCTGATATGAGTGCTGAGAACTGAACTCTGGTCTTCAGAAAAAGCAGCAAGTACTCTTAACCACTGAGCCATCTTTCCAGCCCCTTCCCAGTTGTCTTAATAAACAGAGATTCTTAATTTTAGTGCAGTCTAATTTATTGATCTTCTCTTGTTGAGTGGTTTCTTTTTCCATGTGGATAATCAATTTAATTGTCTCAGCACCAAATATTGATTAGTCTTACTGTCTCCTACTCACCTGAAAAATTAGCTCTGTCAAAAACTATGTGTATACACATAATGGATCTATTTCTCAGTTCTCTGCTGAGTTCCATTAGTCAATGGGTCTCTTTCTGCATAGTTGTCACACACCCTTCCATGGTGACAATAGCTCTCCAATAATTCCTGATGCTCAGTGGGGCAGGTTTTCCCACCATTGTCTTCTATGCTATTTTGATCATTTTTGTTCCTTTAAGTGTGCTCAGTGCGATTGTCACATCTAAAGTGGAATAATGCCATACCTACAACTAACCAGGAAAATTTCTTAAATGCTTACAGTAGAAACTTTAATTGGATCAAAATTCAGTTATGCTTTATCACTTATTTTTCAAGTTCTACTGTACTAGTTAATTTTGTGTTGATGAGACACAAATAAGAAAGACAGAAACAAGAAAAGAAATATTTATTTTAGCTCACGGTCTCTGTCCATTGTGATAGGGGAGGGCTGGTGGTGCAGTTCAGCTCAGGACCCTGGCAGTTCCTATTGTGGTAAGCCAAGAAGCAGGGGTTGTGGGAGAAACTAAGGCTCACACCTCTGATCTATTCACTCTAGCTATTCTCCACCTTTGAAAGATGACAGGACATACCTAAATAGTTCCACCATATGGGGCCAAGTGTTCACAGCAAGAACTTGTTGGGGAGGTTTCAAACTTGAAATATTATAACATCTAGATTTTCCTATCATATCACTACAGTATCATTTAACATGCTCCTAGGTTTACTGCATTTCTTTAAATAGTTTCTGACTTGGTGAAACTGAAGTTCATTCTGGAGATGAGGAGAGACAAATCATCACAGACATTGGTATGAAAAACCACCAGAAGCCATGCTGTGTATAGCTCTTGTCTATTGTTGTGAAGAGACACCATGAGCATGGCAATTCTTATTATAAAGGAAGAACATTTAACTGGGGTGGCTTACATTTTCAGAGGTTTAGTCCATTATCATAATGGTGTGAAATGGTAGTGTGTGGGTAGACATGGTACTGGAGAAGAAGCTAAGAGTCCTACATCTTGACCCCGCAGAAGTCACTTTGTACAATAGGAAGTCGTCTGAGACACTGGGCATGGCTTGAACATATATAAGGCCTCAAAGACTATCCACATGGTGACTTCCTCCAGCAAGGCCATACCTATTGCAACAAAACCATAGTGCCACTCCTATGAATTTATGGGGCCAGTTACATTCAAAGTATGACAACTACCTGTGGAGCATCAAGGCCTTGATTGACTGACTGGATAGGAATTACTCCCAGTGATGTCTATTGTACTATTCCTTCTTAGGTTTTAGCTAGAATTATTTCATAAAGGATTATTTTCTCTAACACACACGCACACACACACACACACACATACATGCACGCAGGCACGCACACATGCACACAAACACATTATACATTTAAGGGTTAAATTTGTCAGTTATGTTTTAACCATCTGTGGTCACCATCCTAATCGATGTTCAAAGATTCCTATTTATGGTCCATGAGAATTTCTTGAGCTAGCTCCTGAATTTTTTTTGCCTGGCTCCACAGGCTTTTCAGCATCTCTGAAACATGAAATTACAAGATATTCCAGTTTGAGTTTGGAAATTCATTTTCCCAGATTTGTTTAAACATTCTTGGTTCCTGTTAATGTTTTTCAGAAAAACTATAATCTGGACATTAGGAATTCTTATTGCTATTGACTTTGTCATTATTTCTGGAATTTAATGAATGGAGTTAGAAAAATACCTTGGACTTCTATATATTCTGTGCACAGGCACATGTACACACAATACATCATGAGCTCTTAAACTTCCAATTCAACCTTGGGATTACATGGCTTTATTTAACCTCATCAGTCTTCGGTAAGATTTTTCCTCTATGACATTGATACCATTTTGAAAGCACTGTTTCCCCGTGTATTTTTGGATGCATTTTGAATTAGAATCTAAGCGTAGTTTTAATTTAGTTTGTCTTAGTTTGAATAAATCACACATTTTATGTATGTGTGTGCACATGCCCACTAATACGTTAATTACTAATTTCTAAGACAACTTAGAAAAGTTGTAAAAGCTCCACGATTACCTTGTTGAGGATTTTTATTAAAATATCATGGAATATACAGATCAATTCTCCTCAAAGTGATGTCTTTATGGTATTTTCTCTTCCTACCCATGAACTAGATGTAGCTACTCACGTGTTTCAATAAATCTTTCTAAAATCTTCTGTGAGCAATTCAAGCTTCATTTTTGGATTCTTCTACTCCCTTGTTTGTTTCATTGCTATGATAAAAAAACCTCACTCATACCTATTTCGTGGCAAGAAATATATGACCAATTTTTCATCTTGTTTTCATGTTGAATAATTTTGCAAACTTTTCTGTTCCAATACCTACCGATTGTTTCAGGTTTTCCATGTAGCATTTCTTCCAAGGTTGCTTCTGCTCACTCATCCCCTAGTCTTCTGGTCTTGTTCTTCTGTATTTCATTTCTTTCTCATGTCTTATGTTGCTACTGCACCTTTGGGACAACATTGGACCACACCAGAATCTTAGGTTATCTGCAGAAAACATTTTAGTCACCTGCCATCTCACCATTTTTACAAGAAAATTTCTCCTCATCTCTGCTTACCCCAGAGTCATCCTCCCATGTTCTGTGGCCCTGAGGATGCTATCTGTGAGTCTGTCGTAGCACCAATCTGGAAAGCAGCTACTGGAACCTTCCCAGCTTCCTATGTTTGACTTGCGTGTGAAGACCTATGTTGAAGTTGGCCAGTTGCTGTGCACCTATGAAGCCTCTCATTGGTTTGCTTATGCAGCCCCGACAGATAGAAGGCGGTGGATCTCATAATGAGTAGGATGAACTATGCTGGGATCCCAGGGAGTCCTGAGGATATCTGGGAATCAATTAGTGGGATGAACCTAAGAAGTCTTAAGTTCTGAGATCCCAAAGTATAGATCATGGCAGAACCCCAAGTATTAGGATACTCAGAGGCACTGGATATTGGTAATATGCCAGAAATAAGTGCCTGAGATCCAAGTTATGTTTTCTGAATGCTATTCCTTCATCCTAAGGATATGCATGTGTCTATGGGTCAGAGTGGTCAGACGCAAGTTTAGCACTGAGGGAACAAACTGGTTATGTATGAAAAGCACCTTGCTCTTGTCCTAGCATGCAACAGGAGCTTAATACGCAGCAGCTCTTGGCAGCTATAGCTCCTCTGTATGTATTCAGTGCTGTCACTGCCAGTAATTGCTGCTTATTATGCTCCTCTTGCATGCCAGAACATGAGCTAAGGGCTTTGTGGTCTGTTAGCTATGGGATATTCTGCCAACTCAGTCAACCCCCTGTGCTCTATGGCCTTCAGGTGCTCCATGCTAACCTATCACAGCACCCATTCTGGAAACAACTTTTGGAGCCTGCCTTGTTTCCTGGTCTGTGGATGTTTAGCCCTGCACACTGGCTGTGACACTTGCATGTAAGCATGTTTTAGAGTTCCTTTCCAGTTTTGTAGACAAAGCCCAGGTGTGGTTTCCATCAACAAGATCAAGATAGCTTTTGGATACACAGGGTGTGTGGGTTCTGGTGCTCTTTGTTTCCAGGGCCAAATTTATTTCATTCACATTGTTGGTTAGTATATCCTGGTTTGTATCTTCATTACCCAGGCAATCAAAGAGCAGTGAATTTCCCCATTTGGGTCATGAAATCACAGTCAGGTGTGCCAGTTGTTATAAGACCTTTAGCAGACTTTCTGTCTGTGACCCTGAGACCTCCTAGTTCAACTGTCCAGGAATCTTTGAGCATAGACCAGAATCTCCCTTCTCAGTTTTCTTCTTATAGGAAAGCTCCTAACTTTAGGCAGAATATTTCTGCTATAAAACATAGCCAGGGAGGGGTTAGGAAATTCCCTGCTCTCCTATCTCGTACTATTATCTTGACCAATCTCCTTTCACACGTTTTATCCTTCATTTTATGATGCCTATTAAAGACTGTTAGGAGTTCTTTCGGTTCCTTGAGGAATATTTATGCATTTTATATGACTCTCATTCAGGAGAGAAGCCCCTTATTAGGGGCAGGCTTGGAGATCCTGTATTAAGGAGTATTAGGAGGCCTCACCCAGGGAATAGTGACACGGAGGCTTGACTTGCTGGTTTATACACCTGCTTGAACTGGTTTCTTTGTGAGGATGAAGGGTTCTATGAAAATTTCAAACAGCACAGACAGGTAGCCACCATATTGAGACCTGCCTTCTGTTTTATGTAAGGGTGATGAGAAAGAGAGCCTGGACCACTTCTTTTGTTTTTTTTTTTCAGCCCCTTCACTCTTGCCTTTCTTCATGAACCCATTAAGAAATTAGTGTTTGGCTAGTAGATATACTCCTGCTGTATCCCACAAGCCACATCTCAACATTCAACCCTGATAGCACAACCCATACTTCATGAGACAAGAAGCAGTCTCCAGCCACTTTCATGAATGAACTTCAATATCTAGAGATAATTTTGGCTCACATCAAAACTGAGTGGAAAGTACAGTGCCTGTATATGGCTTCTACTCATATGCACAGCCTTGCATCCTACACCAGAGTGGCACATGTGTAATCAATAAGCCTACAATGACACATCTTTATACCCCAAACCATAATTTACATTATGGTTTCCCTTGGCATTGTATGTTCTGGGGATTTGGGTAAATGCACAATGAGATACACATACCATTACAATAGCCTACAGGGTAATCACTGCTCTAAAATGCTGTCTTGCTCCAAATGTTCACTTCTCCTCCCAAAACCTGAAAACTATTAACCTTTTTACTGGCTTCTTCATCTGTCTTTCCTAGCATATTATAAAGCTGAATTATAAGGTATATGGTCTTCTCAGATTGACTTCTTTCACTTAGTACAATGTATTTAATTTTCCTCTGTCTTTCCATGGCTTGATAACTCATTTGTTTCCCTGTTGAATAAAATTCCTTGTCTTGATGCAATATGGTTCATTTGTCCATTCACCTATGAAAGGGCATCTTGGGCAAATGTGAATACAGTTGTCATAGACACCTGTGTGCAGGTTTTGTGTGAGTGTACATTTTCAACTTCTTTGGATAAATACCAGGGAACATGAAGACCAGATCATATGATGAGATTTCATTTAGTTTTATAAGGAATTCTCAAATTGTAAGCCAAAGAGGTCCAGCTCCACTTTGAGCTGTTCCTTGTCCCCATGGGAAATGGGCTGTCTAAATCAGGAGGCTTATAGATTTCCATTTTCTCCCTGTGTATTCAGAGTACCTGTGTTGTATTGATTCTTCCTCCTATACGTGACCCCTGAAGGCCTCATCTTCTTTAGAGAGGTGAATGCATATTCTTTTTGTTCTCTGTCTCCAAGATTCCTGCAGCAAGCCTAAGGATGCAGGATGCTGTGGCCATTTCCACTCCCAGGATGCAACAGGGAGAAGCCATAACTTAAAATCTTTGGTATACACCTTGGTTCTCAAGTGTGGTCCCCAGACCTGGGGATGGATAAATGGACAAATTCCTTGGTTACCCAGAGCCAGCAAAGTACAGTCCTAGAAATTCCACCTCACAATCTATGTTTAACTCCATGCCTCTCTCGGAGAAACTGACTTTGGTATTCACTCAGTTTTGAGAACTCCTGACCCGTATCGAGAATATGCTGCTCACCTTCCCCTTAGGCCTGCAAAAGCATATCTTTCAGAGCCCCAGCACCTCCTCTTTCCTGAGGGAATGCCTCTGGATTGTGATCTTTCTGCTGTGCCCCCCCTTTGCCCCTGTAAGACTCCCTGCTTCCTGCTCCCTCCGGATTTTTTAACATTTGGGCCTGCTGCCATCCTGTTTGTGCCTTTTCCTCCATCTCATTTTAATTGATTCTGAAGTGTTAAAGCATTTAGTGAGTATGAATTTGTGTTTCACTGAAATCAATCTTTTTCTGCAAGCTTGCTTCCCCCTTCTTTCAACTCAGCTAAATCTTGTCTCCCCCAAATTAAATGGCTGTGGGCTGAACCAGCTTTGACTAGATTACAGAATTCCATAGTAGCTCTGATGCTGCTGATCTGGCTTGACCCAGTTTGACCCAGAAATGCTTTCCTGCTCAAGAGTATGGTACACATTTGCTGAAAAAGGTGTACTTGCACCAGTCCTCTGAGGGATGGGGGAGTGTGGGGACTTTCAGATAATGTGGGGCATTTTGCAGAGATGGGAGTGAAGAAGACCACTCCAGGGTTGGGAGGAGCGGGAATGGGTGACAGCCTCTGATGTTTGGGGTTACTCCGAGAAAGGTAACAAATGCTCCCCTTTCTCAATGACTAAGGCTCATTGTCTCACTTTGGACTTGGAGATCTGTTGTCTTTGAGTCATGAGAAGGCAGAAAGAATCATGGAAACAGTTGGCTTTCTCTGTGTGATCATGTAACTCCTCATGTCAGGTGCTCACCCAATGATGACTGTGTTGTTAATGTCATTAGCAACTTAATTATGGAACTCCATAGCAGTACTGATGCTACTGATCAAGCTTGACCCAGTTTGACATGTTCAGATTGGCATGTACTAATCTTATTTTACAGAAGTAGAAGGGAGTCACTGGGTGGCCTTAGGTGGCTTTTCCAAGGTTACATAAAATCTTAGTTAGGGTTTCTATTGCTGTGAAGAGACACCATGACTGCTGCAACTCTTATAAAGAGAAACATTTAATTGGGGCAAGCTTACAGTTTCAGAGATTAGTCCATTATTGTCATAGCAAGAAGCATGGCAGTATGAAGGCAGACATGGTGCTGGAGAAGAAACTGAGAGTTCTACATCTTGATCCACAGGTAACAAGAAGTGAACTGTGTCCCACATGGAGCATAGCTTAGTTTGAGCATATAAGACCTCAAAGCCTGCCTCCACCGTGACATATTTCCTCCAACAAGGCCACACCTACTCCAACAAGGCCACACCTCCTAATAGTGCCACTCCCTGTGGACATTCAAACTCTTAAGTCTACAGGGGGCCATACCTATTCAAACTACCATACATATTCTATCTACTGTTCACAGGAAATGGAAGGCCAGGGTTTGAATCCAGCCCTGGTTCTCTCCTGTACTAGGCACATAAATTATAGTGCAGAAATCAGGGGTCCAAGAGGTTCTATTCATTACTGTGACTTCTTTTTCTTTTTAAGGGTAGTCTTAAGCATGTTCTTTAGCTCTTCCTCATTTATTTGCTTGGTCTGCAAATGTGGGTTGTTCAGTGAAAGGAGGTCACTTTAGCACCTGGGTTTAGTAACTATAGGTTCTGGTTTTGAATGTCTGATTCTAAGGTGTGATTGTGTGAGTTTTATTAGAAGGTGGCATGAAGGTGCTGGCTATACAGCATTATGACACTTGCATACATGCATATGACATACTTTAGTCATATTCTCTTTCATTATTTTATACAATTAAGATTTGCTAATTTAAGAAAAGGGGAGAAAGTGCTCCTTATCATGGTATGTTGGTGGTCAATATTCCCAAGGACTGAGTTTCCAGACTAAATCTAGCTACTTTTCAGTCTTTGACCTCTGTTCCCTTCACTGGATCATACAATCTCATCCCTGCACCCAGAGTAATGTTATGAAGAATGAACTGGGTAAGGCATGTGAATGTGCTTGATTGTATTGTATTTGATCAATACTTTTTGTATCTACACATCTGCACCTATAGTCACAGAATAATAGAATCTGTTAAAGCATCTGTGTAAGCTGCGCACTGGTTGTTGAAAGCATCCAGAACAAGTTTCAGCCTGTCTGCCTGCCTGGGGCATGCCTTCAGCTCCACAGCCCAGAGGATGAGATGTGATTCCAAATCACAAGGATACCTGTCTTTGTTAAGGAATATACAGAGGGTGATTAGGGGTTACGCTGATTACAGACACGTGGAAAAGTTCAGCCTCGGTTAGTTAGATCAGCAATTCTTCCTCCTGGTTTCTTATCACCCCAGGGTGTCTCCAATTATCTCAAGAAGGGTCAGGAACCACTCAAGATGTTATTAATTTTAATCCATTCTAATTAAATATATAAATGGGCCATGCACCACTTTGTGGAAAGGGAAGGGGGTGGTGCAATATCTCAGAACCAAATTTGTAGTTTTTGAATAGTTGAAGCTCAGTTCTGAAAGGCTGACAATTTTTCCCTCTTTCTCGTTTTCCCTCTATACTTTGCTGTGTGCTCTGATTGACAGGGCACAAGGCAATGACACCAAGAGAGCCAGCAGTGGAATGGGGCGCTGGAAATGAGGCCCAAGGCTGGAGAGTGGGATTTAGGGTTGTGCAACCAGAGGCCTGCTTTGTAGAATAAAATTTTGCCTGCTGATGCTGTATGGTTTTGAGACAGTCTAATGTGAGTCTCTGATGTGGTTCTTTAATCTGTGTTTCTGGAATAAACTCTATACTGAGGGTCTGGGTGTATAGCCAGGTAGCGATGGATGGAGGAGACCAGTACCAAGACAGCAAGAGACCGATGTCACTCCTTACTATCAGAAGTTGTATGTGGCTGTGCTAGAAGGGTTTCTTTTGCTTAGGAGCCTGGGGCTGTAGCTGCAGCTACATTTCAAATTCTTGAAATGTCTTGGGTGATTTTTTTTCAAACGTTTTACCTTCAACGTGCTTTGCATACCACCACACATTTTTAAAACCCACATATAATTTAAGGAACATTTAATCAATAGAGTCTTGATTCATTTTTCCCTTAAATCATCAGTATTATTGTTGTGAAGAGCCCATTTGAAGTTCAGGAAGGCTCTTAAGCATTTTTAATAACCATTTTCTTCCCTTGTGTCCTATTTTTTTCCAAAACTATCTTTTTGAAAGATACTTTCTCCAATGGTTGAACAATCTCAAAATGCCAGGTTCTCAATTGCTTAAATTGTGGCAAATATGTAATCCTGCAAGGAAAATGGACTCTTCCAGAATAATTTTATACACACACACACACACACACACACACACACACACACACACACACACGGATATAAAAGTCAAAGTGGGTTTTTCTGAAAGTTGTATGAAAATTACCTGACAATGACTCTTACCTCCTAGTGATGGCTTAAGGGGCCACCATTGAGGGAGGGAGATGAGCCTCACAACAGTGTCTCAGTCCTCCAGTCTGTTCGGCTTCTAATACATACATCCCAGGTCTGGTGTGGCACTGTCTCTGTGGCACTCTGCTTGTTGTACGTGTCATTTCCTGGGTACTTCATGGATGTTGCCTCACAAAATTATTTAACTTCCACTCCACTTTATGGATCAAGACACTGAGTCATCCAAGGATTTATCATTTCCTGGGGCTACTGACACCAAATTATTACAAAAACTTGGTGACTTAAAACTACAGTGGTTTGTTCTTTCCCAACTCTGGAAGCCAGAAGGATGACATTCAGATATCATTAAGGCTATACGCTGGAAGGCACCAGGGAGTAATGAGTTGATCTACTCCTGGCCTTTTAGAGCATAGCTTCTGGTGACCCCAGGCAGTCCTTGGCTTGTGGCTGCAGCATCTCAACTCTGCTCCCATGGTAACATGGGCTTCTGCTTTTCATCTCTGGTGTTCCATCAGTTACTTTTTTCATTGTTGAAACAAAATATCTCATGAAAGCATCTTAAGGACCACAGGATTTATTTTGGCCTACAAGTGGAGGGCACAGTGCAGCCTAGCTGGGAAGTAGGAGCTTGAAGGGACTGGCCACACAGTCACAACCAAAAAACAGACACGGCTACTGCTGCTCTGTTCATGGTCTCGTTTTTTAATACAATCTGGGATCCCAGTCTACAGAAATGGTACAGCCTATGTTTATGGTGAGTCTTCTCACCTCAGTTTCTATCTGGAAACTCTCTTCTTGAAGAATCCTGGGAGTTTTGTCTCCCAGGTGTTTCTGGCACCTGGCAAGTTGACACTATTAATTATCACAAGTGTCTTTATTTGTCTCTTACAATAGTACATCAGTGGGTAACCCATAATAAGGTCCTTTTTATCCAAGATCTTTAACTTAACCAGTTTTCTCATAGAAGACACAACATCAACTCACTTTCCATGTAAGGTAGTGTCAAAAGACTGGGGAATTAGGACATGGATATAACTGTTTTGTGGGGAGGACAGCATCCAATCCACTGGAGCTTGTAAGGAATGGGGACAGCATCCAACCCACTGAATAAAACCAGCATCAAGTGCGCTGTGGACACATGACAGCTGGGTTGGGGCCTTGATTCCTTGCACCCTAACTATTGTTTTATTTTCAAGGCTTGGATTTAAGCCCTCACATCTTTTTCAAAGTTTCCATGGCTGGTGTTCTACTGTAGACTGTATTCTTGCACTGCAGGCAGCTGTAAGTCTGCTTCTCCATCCCCCTATGTGGGTGCTGACTGAGATGTGGAGTTATGTGGATGGAAGAGGGAACGGACCATATCAAAGGGCCACAGTTTTGATCAACAGTGATCCGATATCAGCAGTTCTTTGTGCTCCAAACCCACATTAATTTCAACCATATTTGCCATCAGCACTCTCATCTTTCTCTGAGGCTTGCCTTCAATCTCGTGCTTCTTCTAAAGGACAAAGGAATGTTCTACTTTCCTGCACATGCCTTTGATTTCATCATGTGGCTGGTCTGACCCAACCCTGCTCCTGACTTATTTAGGCACATCTTTGGAAGATTTGGTGCTTTGTCACGCCCCAGATCCCATCTTAATTTCAGCTGTCTCCAAAGAAGCCACAGAGCAGCCGGCCCATCTTGAAGTCATCAGCTTCCATTGAGGGCGTAGGAGCATCTGTCTGAACCCAACATATTATTTTCCTGGCTGGCAAATAAGTAGCAGGACTGTGTGCTGTGCCCACTAACACAAAGTACTTACGGATAGTGTCAAGTTGGGTCCAAGTGTCTAAAAATACCCTCTTCCCTTCAGCATGCTATTGTTTCTGCAGTATGACCCTGCTCATGACTGGAAACTCACAGCACTCAAAACATTTACACAGCTAATGCCTGCTGAAAGATTAACCTGCACTATGCCTGCCCTGCAGTACGGACATTTCCTTTGCTGGCAAGGTCTGTGCTATTGGAAATCATTTGTTGCAATTTATGTTCTAACAAGGCTGAAGGGCTGCTTGCATTGTGAAGGTCCCAGAACTAAGCTGGAAATCCTAAAGTTGGGATTTCAGAGAGATTTGGAGTCATTAGGAATACTTGATCTTGGCTACAGAGCAGTGATAAGTCACAGCCTGTGTGAGTGGGAAATACTCCACTTTTCTGAACCCTCACTTCCCACATGCATGACGGGGTGAGAGGAACAGCCTACAAAGGGTTAATGGACAGGCCCCTGTCTTTCCATTCTAAGCACAGATGAACATTTTGTAGGCAGAAAAGTAATGAATGCTGAAAGTGTTGTGGCAGACTGAGAGGTCGATCAGCAGGATGTTGCTATAGGATCCCCCAACAGGGAGAAAAGAAAGACTTTGCACAGGAGAGTCAAGGATTGCATTGCTTTTTGTCTGGGAAAGGAAGTAAAAATACAATGAGAGGCAGAGTGAGAGATCTTCAGAGGCCTTGGTTCCTAGTGCTTAGCACAAAGTCCCAGTGTTTAATTATTGCACATTGTACATATTTATACTTACTGTACTGTGATGCATACTGCAGAGTAATGTAAAAAGAAAAGAGGTTTATTTTACTTAATAAATGCTAGTGGCTGGAGTGCCTAAGCAGCATGGTTCTGGGACCTGGCTCCTGGATATATCAGGAGGAATGGAAAGGGGAGTGGGAGGGTTTAAAGAGAGGAGGGGAGTGTTCCTGGCTCACATTATAATGATCTATTCTCACAAGATCTAATTTAGTCCCTAGGGTGGAGACTGTGAGACCTAACGTCCTTACACTAGGTTCTACCTCTTAAAGAACCCATCACCACAATACTGCTGATACTGGGAAACAAAATTCCAGCACCCCAACCTTTGGGGCAGTTATATTTTGAAGATGACCTTAATGTGTCCCATAATGGTTCATGGATTGAAATATTCTTATTATAGGTATTAAGAGGGTGAAACTCACTCGAATGTTGTTTAGAATTGGGCCTTTGTGAGTAGATACATTTATTGTGATTGAATGTTAGTTACCTTTGTGAGAAGTTGGAGAAAAATCCGAAGACACATACACACACTCACACACATGCACACACACTCACACACATGCACACACACTCATACACATTCACACATGTATGCACGTGCACATATCACATGCATATGCACACAAACACATGTACATGCACACACATGCACACATGTATACATATACACAATCATGAACACACACATTGACATGCACGTATATTATATACACATGCACACTAACCCACTCATACACCCTCTCACATACATTCACATGCATGCACACACACTCACACACATACTCATGCATGTGCATTTTCTACCTAGCCGTGTGACTTATTTTCATATACTTTTCAACCACCGTGAAGTTAACTGTCATTAGACAGGCACCATGTTGTTTAGATTTTCACCCTCTAGAGCTATGAACTAAATGAACTCTTTCTAAAATTTTACTCAAATCTGGATATTTTGTTATATGAATGAAAAATAGACAAATATAAGGACCAAACCATAGCAGATATGGAGATAAGTATGACTGAACAGCTCTTCAAGAATAACTGTCTCAACTGTTGGAAATGTCGACTCTTTTTATGAAAAGAACTTCTGGAAAATAGTTTAGAGAAGAGAAGGACACACACATGTTGAAGAACTTCAATGTGTCAAACGTGCTGTGTCCCAAAATGTTGTGAGGTGATGGTGGCGCCCCCATTTCACAGGTACAGGAATTAAATCTTGAGGGGGGTATGGTTCTTTGATGTCTCTATACTGGTCGAGATGAGTGGGTTATGTTTCTGTAACACACACCTGCTTGCCCCATACATGACTGTTGGACAGCCATGGATTCTGCAACAGATTTTCATCACTCAGCACCCCAGGATGGCAGAGCAGCCCCTAGCTGGAAATTTGACTCTTTCTGGGCAAACAGAGAAGAAAATATGGCAAAACAAGCATTGCTTTTCAAAGCTCTCACCTGACTAGCTCTGAAGGAAATCCCACCACCACACTCAACTTTCAGGAGGCAGGAAGATAGGCATTCCTGGAGGGAGAGTGCTGGACTGGTACAGAATAAGTTTCTTGAGTTTGGGTCTGTGAGCATGGCAGAGCCAGACTTCACTGAGGGCAGACTCTCAAATCCAAACTGTTTCTGCTAGGTAATGGCACGGGGGAGGTGACAGGAGGCCCACGATTCTGATATTTGGGGCTTCTGATTCTTTCAGTGGCAGATTGTTTGGTACTAGTGATGATGGTACTACAGTCTGGGACTGCCTTTTTTTTCGACCACCCTAGTTCTGAGAAATCTTGGTCATGGTCAACATTCATGCTCTTCACGAGGGGTTTCTGACCCAGTAAGGAGCAACATCGGAGAAAGTTCTCAGGCGTTTCTTCAGCTCAAGAAATGAGGAAACCTGCTGTAGGCACAGCTAGATGCTAGTTAAAGCCTCATCAACAAACGGAGCAAGAGGAACAAGCTGACCCTCTCCTGATGAAACAGAGGACTGTAAGGGCGATGAAAGACTCCTAGTGCCAGAAGAAGATCCATCCTTGGAAGCATATGACCTTACCATCCATGACACCAAAACTACACATCACAGGCCAGGTCCCTCACTCAATGGAAACTCATCTACTCCTAGTTCTGGAAGCTGGTTGGTTTCTGATAAAGTCTGTCTTTTGGGCTTATGGGTGGTCACTTTGTCTCCTTGGATTTATATGATTTTCATCTGTTTATAGGGAAAATGAGAGAGAGGGAATGATGGAGCAAAGGAAAGAGGGGAAAGGGAGAGGGAGGGGAGGAGGGAGAGAGAGGAGTCTGGTGTTTACAGTCCTATGTGCTATTAGGTAGGGGGCCTCATCCCCACAGTCTGTTTAACCTTAATTGCCTCCTTGAAGACCTTACCTCTAAATACGGTCACATTGGATAATAGGATTTGAAGGAGACACAGCAACAACGAAAAACCCCCTATTTGAAGCCATTTTCAATGGCAGCATGCCTGTAGTCCCAGCTACTTGGAAGACAGAATCAGGAGGACCACATAGCCCAGGAGTTCAAGATGAGCCGGGGCTATGTGGTGAGAC